CCGACATCAAAATGTGTGTGGGAAAGTTGAAGCGCCCACACCTGCCTCCTCCCTCCCTTATTTGCCCCACTCTGGACCCTTGAGCAAGGCCCTCAACCCCCACCATCTGCTCCCCCGGGTGCCCTAGATGCAGCTCTCTGCTCCACACAGAGGCGGTGGTAGCTCGGTGTCTGTGGTTGCATCAAGGACATCCGGTGTAAAAACAATCGCCACGTCTTAGTTCGCTGTGAGGAAGGGAGCAGCCAAAAGAAGAAGAAAAACTGAACTTAATAATTTATATTTTTTGCTTTTTCACCATTTTCTCGTCATATTTTCACTTCAAATAACCGGTTCAACTCTGATTTCTGTCTCGAATCAAACTTTCTGTGAAAGACCACGAGGCATCGGGGACCCCTTAAAGGAGTTTTCACAGAAACCCTGAACTTTGACCTCCTTCTGGGGTGTTGTCTGTCGTTTCATGGACGTTGTTCCTCTGAACTGTCTCGTTTGTTTCCAAACTTGACGCCGTCTCCTCTTCGCTCCCGCTCCCGCTCCCGCTCCTGTCCCCAGCTCTCCCGGGACTGTAAGGTGGAGGTGCAGAGGATTCTCCACCAGAGGGCGCTGGATGTGAAGCTCGACCCCGAGCTGCAGAAACGATGCATGACGGACCTGGGGAAGTGGTGCAGCGAGAAAACCGAGGCCGGCCAGGAACTGGAGTGTCTGCAGGACCATCTGGAGGATCTGGTCCCCGACTGCAGAGAAGTGGTGTCAAACATGACGGAGCTGGAATCAGAGGTTCTCTTCACCTTCTTCCATTCGCACAGTGTTTGAACCCTGCTCCGACTGAGGAACGATCGCTTCACGTGGACAGATCTGATGAAATGCTGCGGCTGAACAGCTTTCTTGTGTTCTCAGGATATCCAGATCGAGGCCCTGCTGATGAGAGCCTGTGAACCCGTCATTCAGTCCTACTGTCACGTGAGTACACTGGTCAGAAGTTCAGTCAGGTCCTCTGGACAGTTTCTGTGTCGCTCATCCAGAAGACTTCATCAGGGGCGTCGTCTTTAATAAAACATTTTTAATGAGCTAAAGTGATTCTCTTCCATATGAGCAGCGTTCTCAACTTGGAGTAGACCTCATTCATTTATTAAATGAGTTTAAAAATAATCTGTCTCTAGTTGAACTGGTTGACCAGGTTTTAAGAGTCGGTCACACCGTGACGTCATGTGCAGATCAGCAGAAGGTCAACGATGCAATGAAACGCTCGGGACGAGAGGAACCGTCTCGACAAAACAACAAGAAAAACCAAAAACAAGGCGCCAGAAGTGAAAAAGAACGTTGCAGATCTGTTAAAGTTGCTCGTGCGCTTCATGATTCCCAGCCGGTCTCCCACGTGTCAACGTACGAGGAACTTGCTTTATGTCCAAAAAAAGCTTCTAGAATTTTTGATTCCGTCTTCAGCTCATGTCGGCGTGGTCGACAACGTTGACGTCATTCGACAATAAATCGTCGTTAGTGATGAATTCTGCTCAGAACGCAGAGTTGGTTTCTTTAAAGCAGATTTTATTGTATTTTTGCATCAGTCTAGATTTTCTTTTTTTATTGTTTAGACACGTTTTATTATAAAGTTTTGAACTAAATCTTGTAACGCGTCATATCGCGGATGTTTTGACCAAACGTTGCTGCCGAGCTTCAGATCAGTAAATCTTTAAAGTTGTTCACGTTTGATGTGGGTCACGTTACGTTTGCTCGTTGTGTGAACGTCTTGTGTTCTTCAGGAGGTCGCCGACAACCAGATCGACTCCGGTGATCTGATGGAGTGTTTGATTCAGAACAAACACCAGAAGGAGATGAACGA